AAAAAAGAGCAACAAAGAAGAGTAACAAAAATTATTAAAGAGATTTCATGATAGTTTATGGATAGGACATAGGAGAATTTGAGCTACTTTTGTTAAACTTAAAGAGTGATATTGGTAGAAAAATATATATTAGGATGTGCTTTTATTTGTAGAATTGTATAAAACTTGTCAAACGTATATTAATATAAAACACCAAGATGGTCTCCATCCTACATATCCTTAGGCTATTCAATTTAAGTAGGTTGTTGATTTGGTTATTATGCCAATAGGATTATAACAAATGAGATATTTGGTCATAGCTTGTGAAAATTTATCAAACCAAATAGAAGGTAGAATATTAAAAATAAAGTCTACAAATGGAATTTTTAGATTTTTGCTTAAAGATGTTATTTTTGGCTATAGATGTATAAAAAAAATCACTGCAAATTGAAGAGAATTAAATGTACAAAAAGCTTATGAATTCTTTAAAAAATAAGAAATTAAGTTATTATTGTCTTTTATTTATAATCTTGAAGGAAATGCAAAAAATAAATGTGATCATCTATCAATTATAAAAGCATTAATTAAAGCTTGTAATAGAAAGGTTTGAGAATGGCTACGATATTTGCCTTTGGATTGTAGGCTGATAAAACAATTCATAGTTCAATGATGGGATATATGGCTATTAAGCTCATGATAGGTCAAAAATCTACTATACCAATTGAAGAAAAGGTACCTACTTGGAGTGTGCTACTATGAATTAACAAGGAAGGAACTTTCAACTATTAAAATTCAAAAATTGGAGCAAAGACAAAAGATGTGCAAATAACATTAAAAAGATTAAAAAGGGCATGATTACAAAACAAAGAACAATTTGATAAGCAACATTGATTGAAAGCTAAAGTGATTGAATAAAGTAATTAGATATTGATCTATAATAGTAACTTAGATAATGAATATAATTCTTTAAAAAAGTTTTTTAAATAATGATTTAGACCATATGTGATAACAACTATGCACAATAATACAACTTATTTATTATAAAAATTAGATGAAACAAGGTTAAAAATACCAATTGTAGGGAAGTGAGTGAAGATATTCAAACAAAGATAAATGAAAATAAATATAGAAGATCTTATTGATGATATGAATCTTTTAAGACAAAAAGATAAATTTGACTTAGATAAAGAAAATAATGAAGAAGATTTGAACAAAGATGTGGAGAATATAATAAAAATCAAATAAGATTTGGATTATTGAGTGCATAATAAAAGATGTACATGTTCAAAAGAGGTAGATTTTGTATAGTAAGAGGACTATATGATAAAAAAATAAAAACATGGGTATTGTTATAGAAGAGCCTAGTAGAAAGATGTCATAGAAATCAAAGATAAATGATACAAAGATAATAAAAAGTTTAGTCTTAATGCTGTCTGTTAGAGAAAGAACTTCTATTTGCTTTATAGGGACATAAATGCCTCAAATCAAAGCAAATGAGATAAGTATATAGACATGCTTAGAAGGAAGTTATAAATAAATTTAAGAAAAAAATACCTCAGATTATCAAATATTGATAACCAAAGAGGATTAATTATCAACCTGAGTTGAAATCAAATCCTCAGGTATACAATCACATACCTATAGCAACTCAGGGGTTCTTTGGTAGATTAGAGAATAGAATTTGAGAGAAAACTAGTAAAGATATTTTTACATATTGATTTTATGTCAATTGAATTAATATTTAATTTTTTGGAAGATTTTCAAAATTAGTGATGTTTTTGGTTGAACTAGTTTTTAAAAAATAAAATTATATTTATAAAATTGAGGATTTCTTGAGTTCTATGGTATATATATGGATGAATTTTGAATAATGTATTAATTTTCTAGTTGTTAATATGTGAAGATTTTGAAGTCAATCAAATAGTTAGATCAAAGTATGTGAAGGTTTTTGTAGGTTGATGTTTCAAAAATTAGAATTTGAAGATTAATGAGTATTTTTAAAATCTTTAGCAATTTGATGATTGGATTGAAATAAAAAATTTCTTATATGCATATTAGACTTGACTTTCTATAATTTAAGTGTATTATGGAGGCAATTCAATGGTTCAAGAAGAAGATATTGGTATTAAAAGTTCAACATTCAAATTGGAATAAGAAGCCAATCAATACCCAGGCAGAATTTAGAGTTGAATTTCTATTTGATAAGCTCGATTATCTTCAAATTGTGTATGCTTGTTGCTAACTTAGTTGTTAAGAAGTGTGTAAAATCTTAAATAAGATCATTAATATAATTAATAGATATTGAGATTCTAAATTACTGAAAGATTAGATTAATTTAGTTAGGATTTGACTTAGAATTTAAGTAAGAACTATTAGGATTTTAATTAGGATTAAAGTAAGATTTGGTTGGAATTTATTTAAAACATATTTTGGATTTTATTTTAATACTTAATATAAATTTCTTTAGGATTTTTTTATGCTTCTTTTGTAATTTTTTTGAAGTTTCTTTGGATTAATTAAAGCTTGATTAGAATTTTTAAAGTTGAATTGTAATTATTTAGGATTCTATTAGAATTAAAATCTTTTTGTTGCTATACTCCTTCTACCTTCCATAGCCAAGTGCTCAGTCCATTGTCAATCAAGGCTTCATGTAATATAACAATAGAAATAAATGTCTCATTGAAATCAACACCATCAACTTGTGACTAGCTTTTGGCAATTAATCTAGAGTTGTATCTCACAACATAGCCCATTATATCTCTTTTGATTCTAAACATCTATTTACAATCAATTGAAGATCAATTTGATGGAAGTTGAGTCAATTTCCATATTCCATTGTCCACAAATAATTTATATTTTTTTTCTATGGCATTCTCCTACTTCATAGCATCCATGGACTTCATTGCATCACCCAAACTCAATGAATCAATAAAAAGTGCAATATTGGCTTGTTCTTTACTTATTTGAAGAAAGATGTGATTCTTCCACCATATACCAAGTTGTTTTCTATCTCTCAAAGGATATCTCCTTTCACTTAATGAAACTTCACTTTCTTTCACTTCAAGGTTTCTTATAAGCTTCTTCTCTCTTAAAACTTGTTTCTTCTCATTCAAAGATTGATATTCTTCATCATCATCATCATCAACATCTTTATTGTCTTCATTGGTGAATCTAGTAATTGTACGTACATTATGGTTTATCTTCTTTAGCTCTTCATTTTGATTTGAATTTCTACCATTATTAATGTCATCATCTTTTTCTTTTTCTTTTGGTGAATTTAAAAATGAGTCTATAAATACGCCACTACCTCTACTTGGACACATCTCCAAGTGCTTATAAACACTCTTATGCTCCAAAAACTCTACATCATGATTCTTCTTGATCTTCTTGGTTTCTAAATACATAAACTTATATGCCTTAGTACCTTCATAATATCCAACAAATACACATTTTGTATCTTTTGCATCAAGTTTGGACCTCATATAATGTGATACCTTTGCATAGGCAATGCATCTAAAAATCCTCATGTGTAAAATATAAGGTTTCTTACCACTCCAAGCTTCTTGTGGAATCATTGATGTGAGTACACTTGTTGAGTATTTATTCCTTTTATACATTTCATTTATTATTACTTCTACTCAATATTCATGCCCAAGATTTTGTACATGAAGCATATTCTTTGTCATCTCTACAATGGTATGATTTTTTCTTTCACCAATTCCATTTTATTGTAGAATGCAAGGAATAAAGGATTATCTTATAACACCTTAAATCTTTAAGAATTCATGAAAATATTTTGACATGTATTCACTTCCATTATTCATATATAATACTTTGAGCTTGCACTCACATTGTTTCTCTATAAGATCTTAAATTCCTTAAACCTTAAGAAACATTCACTCTTAACTTTAATTATATAAATTCACACTTTTTTTAAAAAATCATCAATAAATGTAACAAAGTACCTTGTTCCTCCAATTGATGGTGTTTTTATTGCTTTACAAACATTAGAATGTACAATGTCCAATAATTTGCTTATATATATTGCAACTTCTTTTGAAAATGAAGTCTTTTGTTGTTTGCCTTGTATAAAATCTTCAGAAGCAAGTATCAAGGCATTGTAGCTAAATTGACAAAGATTAAAGCTACTTACCATGGATTAGAGCTCTTTCATGCTTTTGGCATTGAAATGACTTAGTTATTAATACCAAATTCCAAACTTGACTTGATTTTATGAAAAATCAATAAATACTGTCACTTCTACTCCTTTTATCTTCTTACAATTGATGAAGTAGGGATTGTCATCTCTAAGGCCTTTGATAACATGTTATGCACCCAATGTTAATACAAAATATCCATTCTTATCAAATTGAATCTTACAACCATGTGATATAAGTTTGTTCACCAAAAAGAGATTTTTATTCATCTTCGACACATGTAAGACTTTATTTAATCTGATTTTCTTGATTTGGTCCTTCACAAAAATTTCGACAATAATGGATCCAATTCCAATAGCTTGTACTATGCCATTATCTACCAACCAAACTTTGGTTGCTAAAATTTCTTCATAAGTGTCAAATGAATACTTGTATAGTGTCATGTGCTTAATAGCATCCAAATCTATAATCCACTTAGACATAGCAGCCGTGGAGGCTCTTTCACTTACCATGAAAAAATAGTCATCTCCATCAAAGTTATTATGAGCATTGTTTACATTCTCCTTATTTCCTTTCTTGGCTTTGTAGTAATTTTTAATAAAGTAATATGATTTTTTATAAATATAGTAATTTTACATGTTTTTTTTTGAATTATCACATTGATAAGAATAGCTACCTTTTTCCTTGTCTTAAAAATAGAACCAAATCATTATTTTGAAGCTCTTTTCTTTTTTTTGATTAATTAATAGACAAGCCTTGATGTGACATAATTCATGGTAAGTTCCTTCATGTTCATAAACTCCCAAGTGTTTGAAAGAGCATGTATCCTTGCATCCATTCTATATTAGTTTCTATGGTTTCTTCAGAATGGGCCATAGAGCTTTCTAATGCAGGTTGAAGGCTTAGGTGCTCGTAGAAAATGTGACATCGTTCCACTTCTGTTGTTTGATGATATCAGGTTGCTGTGTCAACCCAAAAGGAAGCTGACACTCATATTCCCAACTACCCAAATCTTCGACCACACCTAGTTTGTACTCTTGACAATATCACCCTACATGTTAGTGTCCGCTATCCCTAAGCTATGTTGATACTTTGTTGGAATTTATTTGTAGGACATTTTTTAAGACTACATTGTCGTCGGCTCCTGGCTTATATCTTTTGTAGTATGTCATGTCCGAGTCCGACGATGAGCATTTTCTATCTCTTTGGTACTAAAAAATAAATTACGAGTACGACTCAGAAGCTGGATACCGAAATATGAAATGATGAGGACCGGCTACTGATGTGGACCTTGTATCTCTTGCAGGCGGATCTTGAAACGGACGAGGTTTATGCCCAGATGGTTCTTATTCCATCACAAGATCCGGTATGTTGGGGTATTTCTTTATTGAGGGTGTGACAGCATGCTTTTTATGTCGCAAATAGGGTTCAAACGCGTTTTAGCCTTTCATTTCGATTTTTCTTTCCTTTACAACTCAATTCTCTACCTGACAATAACCTTTAGCGAATGTAATTGAAATTCTTGCTTCTCGAACTTCAGGACAAAGAAACGATGCTACTGCCAGATGCAGTTGTGCAAAATAAGCAACCAACGGAATACTTTTGCAAGACTTTAACTGCCAGTGATACTAGTACGCACGGTGGTTTTTCAATACCTCGGCGTGCTGCTGAGAAAGTCTTCCCCACTCTGGTATCATCCTGCCTTGTGAACTAAATTCATTTGCACCAATTTCATGACAAGAGTAGCTGTGAAATTCATCGCACTCGGATTAGATATATTGATAATGACATCCGAGTAATGTGTGCTTGTAGGACTACAATCAGCAGCCCCCTGCACAGGAGCTTGTTGCTTGAGATCTTCATGACCAGGATTGGCACTTCCGCCACATTTATAGAGGTGCGCATGAATCGTCAATTCATTTTGCTTCGAATGCCCTCCATGTCGTGCTATACTGGAACCAGATGGTTATCAGTCGAAGCAAATTTTAAGATGTATTGTTATCTTGAGCAGGCCAGCCACGCAGACATCTTCTTACCACTGGATGGAGCGTTTTTGTCAGTGCAAAGAGATTACAAGCAGGCGATGCTGTTTTGTTCATCAGGTAAGTGTTCATCTGAGGCTGAAGGCGAATTTACATGTTCATGTATTTGTTGTATCCGTCATTTTGGACACGTTAATCATCATATACTCTCTTGATCAATGTGAACAATACATGAGTGTTCTCATCTTCAACCGTGTGTGGATTCTATAAGCAGGGACGACAAGGGTCAACTCTTGTTGGGCATAAGGCGTGCTAACAGGCTACAGACAATGATGCCATCGTCAGTGCTGTCTAGTGATAGTATGCACATTGGGATCCTCGCGGCTGCAAGTCATGCCGCCCAAACAAGTAGTCGTTTTACGATCTTCTACAATCCGAGGTGCGTACTTGCTTTTGCTTTAGTCTTAGTGTCATATGTGTTGGAGATGGTCTTGATCATTAAGCGAAGGATGTGTCGTTTGTTATTCTCTAACCCCATTTTACGTGATTTCAAGAGCATATGATAATGTGCTAATGTATTGTTCAATCAATGTGTTTTAGGGTTGCGAAAGCAAAGCAAACAAATCGATACGGATCTTGATCAATACCCGTGTTTGTTTGAAATCGCAGGCAAAGTCCATCAGAGTTTGTTATTCCTTTGGCCAAATACCAGAAGGCAGTCTACTCTACTCAAGTTACAGTCGGGATGCGATTTCGTATGGTATTTGAAACTGAAGAGTCTACTGTGCGAAGGTATGAAGTATATCTTCTTTGTGTGAGGGTTTGTGATTTATGATTTATGATTTACGATTTATTTTTTTTGAACTAAAAGAGAATAGAAAAACATATCTTTCTCTCCTCACCATTCTTATGTTTTTTTGAGAAAGGCTCAGTCATATCTACTTTTAATCGGATGGTGCAGGTATATGGGAACAGTCACTGGCATCGGAGATCTGGATCCTGTGAGATGGCCAAACTCGCACTGGCGCTCATTGAAGGTAAAATTTCATTTTGTAACTTCATGTTGTCAATTGGATGATTACATGGAGGAATTATCTTTAAATATCATGTGTTACTGTTTGTGTGTGAAAATTAATACATTTAAACAATAACAATTGGTAAAGGTTATGTAAAAAAGATCATTCCCTGTTGTGAGTACCAATATCATGACTGACATTTCCTAATGTTGTCTACGTAGGTTGGTTGGGATGAATCCACTGCTGGTGAGAGGCAGCTAAGAGTCTCACTTTGGTAAATGTAAATGATTTCAACAGTGAAATGTATTTTATTGTCTTACAACTAGGGTTGTATGGTTAAAGTACTTTTGAAGAAGAAATGATTGAGAAAATTCTCTCTACATTTCTTCCTTCACCTGGTGTGTTTGCACAACAATATTAGAATTGGAAGTTTTTGAGTCTTTTTGATCTTAAGTCCTATCTACTTTTTGCAAAAAAATAATGAGTATAATGTAGTAGTTTATTTTGTTGGAACCATGGTTCTAAAATCTCATGCACTTAATATTTTAAAGTGTAGGAAGAAATTTTACAAGAATAGAAAAGATCTTCATAAGTACCAAAGCAATCATGATCATGACCATTTTTACCCATATAGATAGAATAGATGTATTACTACTATATATAATAGAAAATAACAATCAAAGATGCATTCTTGCCTTAAACATGGTATAATTTGGATATTTAATGTATGTGTACTATATTTCAAAATACTTTGTTAAAAAATTTTAAGAAAATAAAAAAAAAATGAAATAATGGTTGTGAAGTTCTTATCATAGATGTGTCTATAGACTTAATTAATATTGATGATTTAGAGGCTTATATGAATAGCAAAACCTTTGATGATGAGTTAAATATTGTGTTCATTGATTTTGCAACAATACATACTATCTTACAAGATATATAATTTTTTATTAATAAATCTTCAACTTGATAAACTAAAAATTTGATGACTATGTAGAGTGAATGCATTTCTTTTCCAAAAAGGAACAACAATGGGAGAATTGCTTGCGGGTTCTACCATAAAATGTAAACATGTAATATTTATATCTTTAATACTTTGAAATTTGATTAGCTACTAAAATATGTGTGCCAATGGTTATCACCTTTTAATTGTCATTCTAGATAGGTGGGAGGTTTTGGTTCTTGCACAGAATCATAAAGTTATTGAAAAAACCTTTGTTGCAAGAAATGGTTTATATTGAATTACATTTTGGATTTAATTTTGGATTATTTATCATAGAGATTTGCGTTTCTCTCTAGCATAAACAATTAGAACATCTAGGATCTACATTATTTTGAAAGATAATTCCATGTACAACTAAACATAATTTAAAACCTATAAATGTAAATTTTATGAAATTATGTTATATTTGTATGCAAAGTAAGATGATTACTCAGTTTTCAATTTGAAAACTTCCACGAGAGTTGCTACCAATATTTGAAAGGTTGCACAATGGTGTTTGTGGTCTTATTAATTCAATAACTCGACTATTTTATTATTTTTTGGTCCTTGTTGATGCATCAAGCAAACACTCATATGTTTCATTATTATTAACTTGAAACAGCTTGATTATCTCATATCTATGCTTATTAATTTTTAGGCATATTTTTTTTATTATCCTATCAAAATATCTTATTATTGTATTACATATGTTCTTTCTTAAGAATGCATCGAGCACCTAGTTGTGGAAGGTAAATAGAAATATAAGATCAATCCTACCAAATCTAATAGAATCTTAAATAGCCTTAAGTAGATCTAAATAATTTTGATCAAAATTTTATCAATTCAAAATAAATTATAAAAATATAAATAAATAAATAAATAATTACACACAATTAATATTAAAAAATATTAAAAATAAAAATCCTAATATAATTTTAATTAAAACTCCAATTGAATTTTAACCATATCTTAGATCAAACTCAAGGTGAAATCCTAATTGAAATCTTAATTGAGCCTTATTTAAATCTTAAGTCAAATCGTAATCAACCCCTAGTTAAGTTCTAAACCAAATTCCATGTAAATCCTAAATTTGACCAAATCTTAGACCAAATCTTAAGCCCTAATCAAATTGTAGGCAAATTCTAAACCAAATCCTATAGTAAATTAGAATTTCAATAACTAATGATCAAACCATTGATATTAATTCAAAATTTTTACACTTCTTAGAAACTTAATTAGGATCAAGTACAAAAAAGATAAAATCAATTACAGTTATCAATTCAGAGAAATATAAGATAATTTAATTAGATATTAGATAACTTTTTTATAATAGGATATAGATAAGATAATTATATAGATAATTAGAACTATGAAAGTTTCTAAAATTTGAGATTAGATTAATAGACCAAATAAGACCCACTTTGGAACATTCTAGAAAGAATTTAAGACAATTATTTAGGTGGAGCCCATCATAGAATCTTCTAAAAAAGGTTTAAGGTGATTATTAGATGGATCCCATCATAAAATCTTTTAGAAAAGGAATTTAAGATAGGTATTTAGGTGAGATCCACTACCTAGGAATATTTTAGAAAGTCTTAAGTGATAGGATAAGATATAAATAGGATTGGCCAGTGCCTTTTGGAATATCTAATCAAGTATAGCTTTGGACTCTTTTTCATAGTAAAGTTTGGTTTTACATCTTTCTGTTTAGTTCTGTTCTATTATATTTTTATTTGTTTAGTTTTATCTTTTATGTCATATTCTATTTAATTCCATTCAATTTTGTTCACGTTTGTTTTATCTTATTTTATAATGAGGCTTTATGTTGTTGTAGATTAAAAGGGTCTTGGATCTTTGAAATAGATTAGTCGTGTTTCATTGGTATTAGAGAGAGTATTAGACTGTTTACTTTTGGTAATATCACAATAGTCATCATCTAATTCAAGGATAGTTGTTGTGGTCACATTTGATAGTATATTGAAGCTACCAGAAGCTACTCTTAAAAAGTCAATCGAGAAGTGAAAAGACATTAGAATAGTCGAATCCAATAGAGAAATTAGAGCATGGGAGATATGGCAAAGCAATCTTAGATGGGGGCTCAAATACAACACATCTTAGGCCAGCTAGCTACTTTGCAAGAGTTAATAGAAGCCTCGAGGACAAGGGACTCAACATCTGCTAGATTGAAATTGAATAAGCCTAGTACATACTCTGGAACTTCAACACAAAAAGATGTATGTCAATGGCTCTTCAACATGTGACAATACTTCCAATTATTTGAAGCAAATACGACTAAAGGAATTATATATGCAACCAACTATTTGATAGATATAGCAGCCATTTGGTGGCGACATCAAGTTCAAAGCTATGGAGCTCAAGGTGGATTTTGTAACTAAGAAGAGTTTGAGACCAAGTTTAGGAATCAATTTTGGTCCATTAATATAGAAAAGATAGCACATGATAAGTTGGCAAATCTTACATAAGCTAGGTCAGTACAAGATTATATCTCTCAATTCAAATCCTTATATCTCCAAATTAGCAATGTTTGAGAGGCGGAGATGATGGATCAATTCTTAAGAGGTTTGAGACCTAGGATCCAGCAAGGGGTGAAGCTAAAGAATCTACAAACATTTGAAGATGTAATTTGGATTACAAAGAGGGTCGATGCTATAGATTTTAGAAATTATAAAGCACAACCTATAGTACAAAGTCTTATGCCACTATCTAATACTATAGCGCAACAATCAATGCCAATGGAGATTGATACCTTATAAGGATCATTAATACTACAAAGATGACAAATATTAGTACAAAAGAATTTTTATTTCTATTGTCGGGAGTCAAGCCATCAAATCGGAGATTGTTGAAAACATCAAAAATCAAGCATCAGTAAGACAAGGTGGATTCATAGTCTCAAAATTCACCAAGTCGATAATGAGTTAGAGGAAGAAAATGGGGCTCCCTAGTAAAGGCACCAAAGGTTAGTACTGCGAATAGCTACTGTTTCTCGAAGACAAATAGTATGGCCTCAAACAACTATAAAAAGAGTAAATTGGTGCACCTAATAGGACTACTAAGAAGACAACCAAATGAAGTGCTTGTAGATTGTAGCTCTTCAAAAAATTCCATCTCAATTGAAATTGCCAATTGACTTAGAATTAAAACTAAAGAAATCAAAAAAGAAGTATATACTTTACAGATGACCAAGAGAATTCATTGACTGAGATATATGAAGAAGAAACCTTGAGATTGATAAATACCTACATCTTAAGATAGAGATTTAAAGTGACAAAGCTAAGATATGATATTATCTTTGATATGCCATGGTTAGAGATGGAAAATAAGCAAGTTGATTAAATAACAAGGACAACTTCTTTTAAAGATGGAGTATGGAAGATGACTCTTTACACCTTTGCATCAAGTAAAGAGGAAAGATAATCTACAACCAAAGATTTATTTGTAGGAATGACCTTTATAAAGAAGCAAATATAGCATGAACAACTGGTATATATGGTTGTTCTAAATCTTACGTCAGTGGTGGAAAAATTAGCCAATGGAATAGAATGGGCAGAGCAACTTATACGAAAATATTAGGATGTCTTTTCAACCAACCTACCTAGTTGCATATCTCTTGATTAAAGTACCTCTTTCAAATAAAAATATTGCTTGGAGCCAAACCAGCAAGCCAATCAATTTATCACCTTGTACCAAATAACTTGAAGAGCTACGGAAGACATTAGACAAATTCTTAGAAAAAAACCTCATTTAAGAAAGCACATTACTATGGAGAGCATTTATATTCTTTGCACCCAAAAAAGATGGTAGACTTGACTTTGTCTTTACATCAACTATGGAGGGCTGAATAAGCAGACTATTAAAAATCCATGTCCACTTTGACGCGTAGATGATCTTCTTAACCAACTTCAAGGTGCAACCATCTTTAGTAAATTGGAACTTTGAAACGGTTATTGACAAATATCTATTACAAAAGAAGATGTAGAAAAGATGGCATTTCATACGTGCTATAGACATTTTGAATGGCTGGTTTTATCCTTTGGCCTCACCAATGCTCTAGCCTCTTTCATGGGTCAAATGAATAGATTGTTTTCAAAAATTTTGAATAAGTACATAGTCATTTTTATTGATGGTATCCTCATATATAGTAAAATCCTTGAAGAGCATAAGTAATATCTATGAAAAGTGTTACATCGACTACAAAATAATCACTTTTATTATAAGCAATCAAATTATGAACTTTAGAAGTTAGAATTTTTTTTTTTGGAGTATATACTGTCCTCAAAAGATATGCATATGGAATAAGATAAAATGAAAGCAATAAAGGATTGGCCAAGTTCCAAGGATGCTTCTAAAGTTCATTCATGTTTAGGCCTTGCTAGATACTATCACCATTTTATTCGGCAATTTGCTCACATTATTGCCTCATTGATAAATCTATTC